TTTAAACTACTAAAAGGATTATTCACCACTGCTTTTAGCTTCGATTCAGTGTACAGATGATGGCTCTGAGACTCTTTTCCATTTCAGATATTCCCGTGTTTATTGCTTTCGTTAAACTTGTCCTGCTAAACATAGGGAGTCTCTGTAAGTTTCATACTTTAACTTAAAACTCTAGCTCGAGCGAAACCGAAAGAAACCGTATTTCATTTAGTGAATTAAAGCATCGCGAGGATACATCTTCTGAAGTATACTTACGCTGCTCTCGTTGTAAGCGATAGCATTGATTATTTCGCTTATACAAGAATCGAACAACGTTTAAGCGGATTAATAGTATATAATTAACCTATTGTTGTCGTAGTATTCTCTTTGTACATACAATTTGAATGAATTTTTCGTTTTTTCTACGATTGTCCACTTATTTCCCCTATTGATTTCCTACCAGTCACAATGATTCGCTTAGCCAACAGTTCTTAAATTATATATTTCGCAATTAGCTACCGCAAGCGAACCCGGCGGACTTAGAAATTAAATCACTTTTGAATTACGCCCCGCTAAACAAGCGCAATTTGCCTGATAGACCGTCCAGTGGTTTAAAAATTATTTGAGCGCGAAACGAGTTGTGGTGGGAAGACATACTCCGGTCCGAATGTTTGTTTTTCGAAGGCCACAGCGCTGCGGGAACTCATCGAGGATTAGTGAACGCGTTACAGAGGAGCCTTTGAGCATGAGGAAAGAACAGTACGCGAGTGCGGAAGACAACGTTTCAAAAACGGAGAGTGGAGAATTGGAGGCCAACGAAAGGATGATTAGCCGCCAGTACCCGAAGGACAAGAACATATTGCCGCAATCGAGGGTGCCTTAGAAATGCGCAACCTGAATAAAAGATGGGTTCCTCGTGAATTTGTTCCAAGCCAGTTGAAAACGCGCGTGGAATATACCACGCGCAATTTGCGGGCCTATAATGAGCAAGAAATTCGTCTGGAACATACGGTCTCCGTATACGAGGCATGATTCAATCCCTACGGCCCTGGATTGCATCGTCCTGGAGAAAAATCAAGTACGGTGACAGTATCGGGTAGGTCCGAGATGCTCGTCGAAAATCAAACCGTAAATGTAGCGCGTTATCTCAGATTCCTCAAGGGACTCACAAACCGTTCGCACAGCTTTCTAAAGAACACAGTCTGGTCGATCGATAAAGATGTCAGATTTCATCGTCATGCTTCAGTTACTTCCTAGACTGAGCAAGGGAATATTTAACGTTGGCTGACGCATGCTTTTTTTCTCCCGATAGTACTGAGAAGCTAGGAATAGAGAAATAACATAGGAAGATGCGAACAGTTGATATCTATGTCTGCTAAAGCGTAGAAACAGGTGTGTAATGAATAAAGGAAAGTACTTTTAATTGAAATTAAAAAAATTATCATTTTACTCCATCTAGTTATGGATTATGATAAGATCCGCCAGATTCACTTTGTAGTATCCGAATACTTCTAGGGAACTGTAGGTAACGATTGCACTAGCTTTTTGCCTTGCCTGTGTCCTTGGCCAGCGACATTTCAGCTGCTGTGTTATCGACTCTATCGTTTCCTTAGTCGATATGTCACCTTAGCATGATCCAATCACTTGGCCTGGTTTCGTCCAAAGGCCAAATAGTTTCCTCTTGAGTTGAACGCGTATAGCGCCATTGGATTCCATGACGAACAGCTTCTCTTTGCATCAAATCTAGCCTATAGGCCCACTTACTATTAACACTATAAAAAAGCACGAATCACAATTTTTCTACTTGTCATTGAACTCTGTTGCAGAAATCGTGTTTTCGAGCCAGTTATTGGCCTCAGCGTACTTTGTCCTTTCTATAAGAGGCTTGCCATTAGGTTATCTTCAAGTAAAAACAGCATACTCCTAGTGTAGTTTCTGCTTCATTTATGTCAGTACTTAAATCATTTTCTATGACATACAAGGAGGCATTTTTTTTACAACAGTTCTTTATTTTTAATCGAAGCGTGGGCTGTTATCATCCATGATCTTCTCCCACTTGACTGACAGCTTGTTTGCTCCGTTGCTGTGAAAATGTAGAGTGCGAAACCTCTAAAATCTCGGAAGCCAACTTCTATATCACATTCGTATTTAAACAATTTGGCTATTACAATATCGCAGAAGCTTTAAAAAATTGTGATCTGTAGAAATAATATTTGACGAACATGGCGGATAGCACAGAGACTCTTAACATAAATCCTTAATTTTTACCACCTTGCAACCTACCGCTATCGTGTAGCAAAAACGGTTTGGCGATTAACTGTTGACAGTACACATCAGCTTTAGCCGACAAACCTAAACTATAACACCAGCATTACAGAAACTGTACATTTTTCCACGCTTACTTTACTTAGTTGTGGTAATCTCCGATTTTTGTAGAAGTTCCATTTTTCATAGCAATTCAAAGAAAGAGTGCATAAGTCTCCGTTTCTGATTGTCAGTTAAATTTTACGACACCTATTTCTCCATTCTTTCTGGTTTGTTAAATATCCGAGGTGAAATATGGTATTTCCACACACGTACACACCAGACCTGAGTGCTACATATTGAAATGGATTGGTTTTCACGATAGCCCTAAACACGATGTTTCTCTTCTTTGCAGGGGGCTTCTACAAGACTTATTGTCGAGCATAAAATTTCCCTCCTGGAGCTTCTGAAAACAACGACTTACGGTGTTCTTGTCCTAGAACCTTAACTGAACACAACAAGCTGTCTCTGTAGCCGTAGTTTTAACATGAAATTAATATTCGTTGACACGTTGAATTTTCCTCGCCCTGATGTTCCATTGGCTGCTGAAAATTCAAGTGACGATATGCGAGCGAACGATCTCAGAATCTGAAAAACACAAGTCTATCTCGAAAACAAGGTAGGCGTTCCGAAATATCGCACCGTTATAAAATGCCGGCATTATCAGATCAATTTTTGAAAGGAATTCGTACATTGCGCACATTTATTCAACATCTCGTACGAGCGACTTACAACTTAAAAAATTATTTCAGACATTTTCGTAGTTATGACATAGGAATAGGATCAAGCGCAAATATTCCTGATCTAAACCGCATTTCTAACCTTTTCTCCCGAGCAAAAATACAGTTATAACCATGCAGTTTCTTAGGCCGAGTCTAGCAAAGCGCTATCGAACTCGTTATCATCAAATATAGTTCCCCATGATCAGCACTTCTTGAGCCAAATTTTTGATTTCAATAAACGCCAACAGACAACACTATTCTACATGAAAGCGACCTGGTTCAAAAAAATCTCTTAGCTAATATTTTTTGCTTCTATTACGTTCTATAGGGAGTCTCATAGAACAATGCAAAGTGCACTCACGATTCCGATAAGTCTCTAGTTTCCACGTTCGGTAAGCTATTTGGTATGCTATAAGTTACGATACTTAGAAGGAATTGGAGCATTAAGTCGATACTGGAAGCTGTACGAAGGTGCTACATGAGTAACGATAGACAAGAACTAGCTGTTAACAAGGCAATGCACAACAAAAACTATTTAATTAAATAGTATGTATCAATGCATGTATAACCTGTATACAGTATGCTTATTTCTTTAACCGTCCGTGCTAACATTTCCTTACAGAAGCTACGCCTGAACAACAGGATAGATTTTATTGGAATGCACGATGAAAAGTCCCATAGAAACGAGGTAATTAAAGAATGAAATTTTAGAACCTAATATTTAGAGCCAAACTACAGCGCAACAATTTACAGAACACGATGTCATCAGTAGCTCCACGGTTCAGATAAATGTTTTAGTTCTCATATCTTCAGACAGCTGGCTTCCCGCAAGAAATGAAGAACGCATACGCCCGATTCGCAAGATCGATTGCCGCACGCGTTCAACAGGTACCATAAATAATATCTTGAGGAAATAATATCTTGAGGAAAAGTGCTACGTATAGAAGTTGTGTGCTCACCTCAAAGCGTCTCTCGCAGCGTCCAAGCGACTCCACAGCCGGCATGTGTAAGTCATTCTAGGCCGAAAGTTAGTTAAACACAAGAAGCTTTGAGTTTGGTAAATAGACACATTTCCAATGCGGCATTACTAGGATTTCTTACCTGGTTTGGCCTATAGTAGTAAAATTTTTCTTCGACGCATCAGAAACTAAACAGACCGTACCAAAACAAGGGCGCTATATGATTTTTCAACAATGTAGTAACGCAACACAATTCCACCAGCCGATAAAAAGCTTTTGCTTCGCATCCCCCGACAGTGTTTCATTTGTGCGATTCTCTTGGAAGCGTGCTTACATACGCAGTAAGGAGGTAACCGCTCTGCGAAGTCAACAACGAAGCTGAGTGTTTTTGAGTGCCATTCCTTAAAACGGTAGGCATCAATTCTTGCTAGCATAGAAAAATTAATAAAGTAAATGCCCTAGTTAAGAAAAGCGAGTGAGAGTGTTAGAAATGAAAGGCGCTCCAGATACATGTTTACCTTTCAAGCCTGATGAAGAGCATCAGTGCACGAATAGTCAAACGAAGCACTTATTGCGTTATGTTTCAGATAATGTTGATTCGGTGAAGTACAAATTTTGAGTCGATAGCAATATTCTCCGGAAAAGATCCACATAAAATATCATAAGGACAATGCTTTCTTTTCCATTTATGAGATTCGAAAGAATTACGGAAGAGCTTAGCCATAAACGGCCATACTTAAAAAAAGTTACTCAAATGTGGGCAGGTTACATGATGCGCAGGCGATTCATTGTTGCATTTTATTTCTGCTAAAAACAATTAGTATAACGGGCAAAGGATATAGACGCACGATCAAATAGAAACTTCACTTTGTAACCAGCATCAAGTTATTATGACGTTTAGTCAACTTGTACTATAAATCAAAAGGATAATAGTATTGTTATTTGGATTTAATTTGAGATGTATAGGTTAATCTTAGAGAAATTGTCTAATGATTTTAATAGCAAATGTAAACAACTTTTGAAGTAGGAAACGGCAATGGATAAGCTTTGCGGATCGTCGTTTTGGGTAAGTACATTCAATAAAATGGTAATGAGCGTCTATAATCAAGTATGAATTATATTAAAGGTATATAATAGAAATGAAGGTTCGTCGTCCATCTCTGGAGGCAATCATTTTCGTTAGATTAGATAGTTAATTACATTAAATGACATATATATGTCTGAAGTCTGTCATAAACTTACTTATTCCCACAGCTGTTCGCTCTAGTCAACTCTCGCAGTTGTACGGCCCGAGTCGTTTTTATTTATTATATCATTATTACGGCAGCGGTAATATTTCTATTCGGCTTAATATCATCTTGCATAGTTGACAGACGTGTTATATCTCATACGTAAACAATGATAGGTAGAACGTATTGTCGTTCTAGGAAAGCTCGTTATCGTGGTACACGAATGATTCCGCTCCAGATGTTACTATCTGCTTCCAACAAACGGCGATCGCATGGCTTCCTGCTTTGTTCATAGGGCTCGTTACTCCGCTGGAGCTCAAGACCCTACGTTCGCTCTTCTCGCAGCCTGCCAAGCCTGCCATTCCCTGGACCTGGCTGAGTTTAGGCAGGACGGTACGCAACGTTTTCGGTTCGACCATAGACAGCATCGAAGTCTATTTAGCTATAAGTCAAACAAAGGTTCAGATAAAGGAAATGGCGTTTTTTTTCAAAGGAATGACTCTACAGTTACACGATTTGTTACGAGCCTAATAAGAATTACGGTGATCGACAATATAATTTTCCTTACTGATGTGCGTTTTCCAGGCGTTGAACGTAGCTATACTCGTAGTATGTCTTCTCGAATTTTCTATCGTAATGCTGGGGTATGAAGATCCCGAGAACGAAGATAAGAAGGTTCCGCTCGTTTACATTATAACCCCACTCGTCAAATCGACAGCCGTGGTCAGAACTTGACTTGATTTGTTATGTATGCATATCGTCTCTAGCTGCGAAGCATGGTGTCTGGAAGTTTCATCAGTGATTTTTTAATTTATCAATAATCTTATTAAGCTAAAAAATCACTGGATGACTTTGAAAAAAATTGCGAGATCTTTATCATGATCGCTTATTTTACGTTTTTAGTGTTTTTATATGGTACAACAGTAATATCATACACTAGCATCACCGGCCGCTATAGAGAGCTATTGGGACTCTATTTGTGGAACTGAACTACTCTTAATACAGTGGAAAATATCACCTTAATACATATCGTGTTTTCCTAGAATACGCCTGTTATTTCGCGAATAAAATGAGTAATACTTGGAACGTTTTCCAGTTTCTCGTCCTACTCATCATGATGGCCGGAAGGAAAATAGGCCGACGCAACACTGGCGGGCCTGTTTGGTTATTCTGGTTCATTTCATTTGTGTGCGGCTGTATCACGTATCAAACACTAATCAGATCTTCTAAAACTGGCCACATTTTTACTGTGAGTAGTAGCGCCAGGATGATGGGACACTGACTATTCTGATATCTAGACACTCACAACTGTGGACGCCTTTCCTTTTCAAGACCCCTGCATTGAGGTCCGTAGACGCAGTGGATTTATTGGAGGATTAATTTGATGTACCATACCCGTATTTTATATGAGTGCGATACATCAAATTATTATTATATTGCCTGTTAAATGCTAAATCTTGACCGTAAATTACGACGAAGAACGTCGCGCTTCCGTGTAGGTTTCGAGTTTCGACGCAGTCTTAGCCGGGCGGGAACGATGAGTAGGCTAGCATATGTATAAAAAGGATGAAAGCAGCCTTAAGCAAACCTATTCTGACCTGGTAAGACGATTTTCTCGAAGTAAGTTTATTTGTGGACCATACACAGTTTCGAACGCTGAGAGAACGAGATTATACAAAGCATGTATGAATATACAACTTATTCGTATTCAACTTAATCATGGCGCTTCACTGGGGTGTCTTTCGAATCTATTAATTGTTATTGTATCTATTACGATTTCTCTGGGGGTTTCTGTTTATTAAAATGACTCAGTTGTCGATCAGCTTAAAAGTGGGTGGACCTACGTATTTAACCATATTGGCCCTGTCCCGTAGTTGTCTGGTACACTCAAGGACCTTGTTTGATCTATCACTGTTAAAAATTTGTCTATCTTCAGCAGATTCATTAGATTTTAACCTCTGCAACGTTTGTCGTCTCTCTATCTATACATCTCTCATTTACCTGAGGCAATTTACGTCACCGTGATGTCATTTGATAAAACGAGGTTTAGTTCGTTTTAACATGACGTGAATGCCTTAAAGAACGTTTTTGTATTATTCTACCATTATTCGTTATTATGTGTTATTGCAGTACGGTCCAACGGCTTTCCGAACTGACAGTGGCCTGCTGGACATTGTTGTGTCCTTTTTTACGGTTTACTTCTATTTGACCACAGCTAACCTCATGCTCCTTAGCTTCGTCGACCCAGCGCCGATTCGAGAGGACGAAGACACTCCTGAAGATGAAGTAAGTTGTACGTTACAGTAAATATTAAAGAAGAGCACCGTATTCAAAAGAGTATATAGCATAAGGCGACGCGAGGAATTTTCTTTGGAGCCTCTAAAGACACTGCAAAAGTTTTCTTTTGATGTTGTCATCATTATTTCTGTTGTCTTCTAATACAGCTGAAAGGTTTGCCTAAATCTTTTTGACAATAATTTACAATATACTGCGGCTGTTAGCAGAAGATGTATAAATCATATGCTTATATATAATTAAGCTCAGCCAAGAATTTTTTGACGATAACATAACCGGTAAATATCCGACCTACTGCAATAATTGAAGACTATCAGTGACTAGCAATGGAAAGGAGTAGCACATTGATAGAAACGGCATTCAAACCTGTACTATGGTTGAATAAAAGATAAATTTTATCTTAGGGAAAGGCAGCCGAAGTCGATTGACCGTTGTTCTTGACTTTCTTCATTTTGAAGTTTTGGTTATTACATTTTGCTTTGTACTAAGACGTTTTCTGCGAAGTAAACAGGTTTTTCTCGCACCGATAACAGCCTTAGAACAGCAACATTATACCTGGGTAATTTGGTCATTTAATAATTCAGTTAGGTAATAGAATCAATCGGCTACCGAGTTTAGTCAGTAAGCGAATAAAACTTCCTCTGGGAAGTGGGAAAAAGTGCAAAAAATTCTAAGGAAAATACTGGTTCAGGGAATCGCTAAGTAAAGGCCGTTCACACTTAAGGTGGGGTTTCAAATCAAAGAAAGTTTCATCTTAAAGTAGCACTTCGTTTTATCGTGAAGGATCCGTCAACGCGACCTTTAATTCAACGTAACGTTGTCACAAGCGAATCCTGTGTGGACTTTGAAATTAAATGGACCTTTTATTGGGTGAACTCACGGGGTGTGAAAAGTACTCTCCTTTGATTTTTACACTATTGTTCCATTGCAATCGGCCGATTTCCGGACAGTCATATGCTTGCCACATGTAATTTCTCCATCTCTTTTCTGAAGGAAATCGGTAGTGGGGTATGCTTGCTCGCCAGTTGTCCAGTTCAGGAAGTAACTGAGACATAGCGATGAGGTCTGCGACCTTCATCAGGTAGTTAAACCGTGCTATTTTGATTGCTGTGCCAACGGTCGAATAACGTTTCTTGAGGAACTAGAGATAGCGAGCTGCGTTCATTATTCATTATTTTTTATGAGTACCCCATAGCAGCAGATGGCTTCGATGTCCGTTGCGAGTTACCTGACGTCTGAATTTACTAGACACTGCCTTGAAGCTCAGTTCTCTTTAGGGCGACACAGTTCTCTCACCTGGTTGCGGCAGAGATTAAATGATGTCTTAACTATGGCGACATTACACTCCTGGCCGATTTTTTGTTGATTAAAGCTAAATTGCACACACGTATTTCTAGCTGGTTTGTTATTTGGATTCACTGGGGACCCGTTTCATTTACTACATTTCTAGTACTTGAATTATAATTCTGTGGCACGTCACATGTAAAACGCCGGTTTAGTCGGCCTGGCACTTAGCTTTGCCTCCGTGAAAAGACTGCTAGAACGGGGCAACACTGGCCTGTTTTTCGGATTGCAATGTCTAGGCACTTCCTAACCTTCGCTAACCTTCAACATTCCAATGTTTGTTATTGTAACGTTTACATTGCAGCGGAAACACAACATATGTTTCCGCTTGAGGTTTATTGCCTCTTGCTTTACCAATCTTTGATGAATTTTCACAACGCTATGGCCTTCGAGGAACAAAAACTTGACCACTGAGCACCGATCTTCATGGCTCAAGTATGCTTTTCCGTTTAAACTTATTTCTTATGGACTACACTCAACAAGTTTTCACCCACAAGTTTCTAAAGGACTGGGGCATTTACCAGCTACCGGAACGTTGTTCAAAGGGTATTCAGTTCCAAAGTTCGCTTGTAATAGTAACATTTAACTTATACTCCTATAAAATTTAAATCATTCCATAAAATCGTACAGCATATGACAGGTGTATTACCGGGACTATTGGAATATAGACACAGACGATTTTGACGGTTTCAGTAAAATCAAGTCTATACCGTTAGCATGTTAATGTTGAAAATTACTTCAGTAAACGCTGATCGAATAATCGGAATCAATACGGGACATTATCATTATTATCGATGTTTTCTAGACAATATGTTGGAATTTGATGACTAATCGCGAGAACGACAACCTTTGCTTGATTGCAGCTCCAAAAATACAGACCAGATAAAATCGCTTCGTTTCCGTCACAGTTACTTTTTTCGTGGGTGACGCCACTCATGTACAAGTCATTGAGCGAACCTATTAAGCTCAATGACTTGCCCCACATTGACGAGGAGCTCCTAATACAAAATGCTTTTATGGAGTTCAATGAGCGCCATGTTCGAGACAAATTCGGAAACCGGTAAACCTTCTGATTTTCTTCGCAGATAAGTTCAGTCTTTTGACTATTGTCCATTTTAAGATTAGGCACATTTTACTGCTCTTTTAGCAAAACAATGAATTCATTGTAATTTTATTTGGGTGTAACGAACCTCCATAAAGAAATGCACGTAATTCAACGCTTCTTTGTAATGCTGATTGTCCGTGCAAAATTTGGTACGCGGGTTTTTCAAAATGTCGTTTGGATGTGCGCATTTTTCCTGCAGTGTCATAATCATGGGACAGCAACATATCATCAACGGTCGGCCGATTTTCCGGTCGACCATTTTAGTCTTGAAAAATACTCTAGAAACAAAAAGACAAGAAAAACAATGCTGATAGGTATCGCTTAGGTATTTCTCAGCGGTTAGCCGCTTAACTGTTCTCGCAAACGAAATAGGAAGAACGAATAGACAATGCAAAGCTTGAGACCGAAAACTTCAAATCAACCATTAACTTAAATATTTAATTAGGCCAATCTCTACGCTAGGATAAACAGGTAATCAGCCATTGCGCGTTGGCTCCACTGGACTTTCAGGCCTTATTAGTAGACTAACCTCAACGTTTCTGCAAATGCTGCTTCTTCGATAGAATCGAAATGAAAGAGCGGGGCGTCGTTGGGGCTCTCTGGCGAACATTTGGGGGGCTCATTCTAAAAGGGTTGTGTTTTAGCCTTGTCATTGACCTATTCCAATTCACACAACCTCTTCTACTCGACGCAATGATAACCTCAGCGGACTTAGCGAAAGCTGGCCAAGCTACGTTTGAAACGTCCTGGAAGGGGGTCTTCTACGCGACACTGATGTTTGGTGCGGTCTCTATTCAAACAATTACCATCTCCTATTATATTTACCATATGCAGAATATCGCGATTCGTGTGCAAGCGGCTTTGATGTCCGCTGTATACAGGTAAGTATGGAAGTGAACGCCAAATTATAAAACGTGACCGTTTCCTATAGTTCATTTTTTGATTGTTTTCATTTCATCTTTCCTGCAGACACGTGTGATGAGCGTACCTTATGTTTACGTATTACGAGAACTACGCAAAGTTCCTTTGCTTAACCAGTTGACCTTCGTACGTTTCTCAGAAAGGCCCTAGCTTTGGCGAGCTCTTCGGAGACAACCAGCGGTGAACTCATCAATCTAATGATGGACGATGCATATCGTCACAGAGAGCTTGTGATGACATGTAATACAATGGTTTCGGTCATTCTGAAGATTCTGTATAATGGCGTCTATTTGTATACTCTTATCGGATGGTCGATGCTCGCTCCGATTGTCTTGACGATTCTACTATCTCCACTCAATTTTTGGATCATCAGTTTATTGGCTAAATATTCTGTGAGTATCCTGTGAAAAAAAACAGATCTCTAGCGTAGCACTAGTTGGTTTTGGCTAGCCCTTGTTTGTAAGATTGAGCCAAGTTTGCTCTAACGTAACTCATTTCTATTTGTGGATGCGACCGCGCGTTACAGAAAGCAATGCTAACACTGAAAGACGAACGTTTCCGGGTGATGAACGAACTGATTAGTGGCATGAGAATATTAAAGCTCTATGGCTGGGAGTTGGGCTTTGAAGATATCATCAACCAAATTCGCGTAAAAGAAATACAAATGATTCGCAGAACTCAAGCAGCAATGGTGGCTCTAATAGTCGAGTTTAAACTAGCACCATTTCTCATGTCGGTAGCTGCATTTTACTGTTACGTTCTCATCAATCCGACGCACATATTAACCGCAAGAACGGCGTTCGTTGGCATCAGCGTTATTTCCGATTTGGGAATGGCATTTGGTAAGTTTTCCCTCGAATTAGAACGAGGGTTTCTAAGAAGATTAAATACGCTGGAGCCTATTTTACTAGAACCTCATCGGCTAAAAGTCCGGCTTCACATAGATTCGCGCGTGGCGAACTGCAAATGAATAAAGACGGCCTATACGAAGGTGCGATGCGGTTTCTATCATGGCGAGGTCCCACTTAATGCTTAATGGTGTTTTTTGGGTCGAACGAACTCTTGGCTTGGGCTTCATCGCCAGGTCAGGTCCGTAAAACCAGCGAAAGCCATCACGTGCTATTTTCCATGTTGGGTTTATCAATATCGGCTGAAAGAGCCAGTGGTATTAGCCTTCCCTTACGCTGGCTTCACATGTGTTTGTCGGAATAGTATTTGCCGGAGATTGTTCTTGACGCGAACTGTTTATGTATGCCAAGCGAACGCTTTTTCAAGAGTGAATTCAGAGCTATCTTACCCGTTTCCCCAAACCCAGTTGTTTTATGCCGTATACCTGGAGGGGTTCAGTGATGGATTTACGATTGATCAAAGGCTATGTACTTTGACCTCATCTTGTATAGCTAGCTACACACGCTTGACTGAGAAAAGGCATGATAACACTGCCTATTATCTGTTGTAAGAACGGCAGGCAGCAGCCTGTCCATAATTCAAAATTTGAAATCAATTACAATGCGCTTCATTGGCTTGTCGACCTGAAAATTCAGTAGGTATGTGTATGATACGTGGTTATGAGTCGTGGTTCGTCGATACTAGTTCAATGAGGTTTCAGTTTGGAAATTTAACGGTAACCTATCGTAAACGACTAACGAGGATGGATTCATTTCAGCTCTGGTGTGATTAATGTACTGTTCTTTTAAATCGTCCAAAGACACATTTTGCATTAGTTGACCAAATTTGTTGCTGGTTGACGAAAGACATCCCCATAGGAAACGTATAGCTTTTTTCTTTGTACGGTATTAATTTCCTGTATACTATGTGATCCATACAGCTTTGGTGCCACAGATCTTCTCGGGAGTCTTCCAGAGTCTTGTAAGCGTTGGTCGAATGAACTCCTTTCTCAATTCAGACGAAATTGACCCGTACATTAACCGCGAACCGGATAAATTGGCGTCTAGTGACTTATGCCTGTCGATAAAGAATGGTTATTTTGCTTGGGTTAAATGTAAGTAGAATGTATTACTTCGTTAATTTATTAATTTCTGTTGATAGGTCTTACCGTGGTACGCATAGCCTCTTTTGTTTCATCAGGCTTGCTCTGAGAGAGAGAGAGAGAGGGGGGGGGCGGGCGAGAGAGAGTAGAGGGAGGACATTTTCATGGCTTAGGCCGAGAATACGACAGACTTATGATATTGAAGAAACCTGGTTCTTCACTGTCCTGTTAGGGCTATTGTACCATAAATTGAATAGCTGACGAGCGCTTTCGAATTGAATCTACTTACGAACTTGGTAGTGGTTCTTATAAACGTCGCACAAAGGTACAGTTAGAAAGCACTCAACACAGAGATATTCTGTGCAAATTGTAGGCATCGTATCAAAAACACGATTACTGACAAAAAATGTCTGTAGCTCAGGATCTAAAAATATAATAAATTAACTGTAAAATAGTTATTCTAGCATGCGTGCTTAGGAAGATGCTTGCTTTCGTCTAAATAAGTTGTTGTTTTGCTTAACTTGGCGGGAAGATGTTGATAGTGTAAGTTTACTGCTTAGTCAATGGATTCTGGACTGGTGTAAATTTATCTTTGCCAATTATATCGCATGTTTTTTGCCTTTTTACAAGCGTCGGCAGAAGAGGATCAAAAAACAAATTTAACAGCAGCAGATGGAGATCAGAAAAAACCGATACATAAGAAGCGTTTTGTTCTTCGTAACATAAACATATCGGTGAAGAAAGGCCATCTTCTTATCATTATTGGTCCCGTTGGGTCCGGCAAGAGTACGCTGCTTTACGCACTACTGGGACAATTAATTAAACTCAATGGAGAAGTAACAGTTATTGGTAATTGAAGTATTTAGAGATGATTTTTTTCAATTTACAGACTTGGTATATATGCGATAGCCATCCGTTAACAAGTGGAAGTTTTCGATGACTTGGCTTCCTCCTATAATGAATATGTTTTGTCCTTCTTTTCGCATCAAATAGGTAGTCGCTTATAAACGGCCTACGTATTACGCAAAAGCATATGTCTTCACGTAAATTCTCACTTACAAGTCAAATACTGCACAACCTTAAATACACAGTATTTCTTACCTATATACCTCTCTATCAATATATGTATCCTCCATAGGGGCCTAAGTCGAAACTGGAGCCAGCATATAATGTTTGTCCTCTTTGGTTTGTCCGCTTCGTTGCAAGGAAGAGAGATGCAGTTTTTTAGAACAGATAAATAATCAACCATATACATGCGCCTCCCGTGCAAAAGCCCGTACGGCCTATATATAGAAACGATTCTTTAGGCCAACTAACTCTAAGTTGTATTATTCGCGATACGCTAGCGTATCGTAAAGACACCGGGAGGATTTCAAACGCCAAATATCAATTAGAGACGACTGATAATCGTGAAAAAGTTGACCGGAACAGTACCTGGTTTGTGTTGTTCTTGTGTGTAGGTAAGGTTGCTTACGTCCCTCAACAAGCGTGGATCCTAAATGCGAGTATTCGGAAGAATATACTTTTTACAAAGCCGTTTAAGAACAAGAAGTACGAGGAAGTCCTCAAGGCCTGCGCTCTGACCTACGACCTAAACGTTTTACCTGCAGGCGACGAAACTGAGATCGGTGAAAAAGGCATTAATTTATCAGGTGGTCAAAAGCAGCGAATTTCGATCGCACGTGCCTGCTACGCCTCCGCGGATGTCTATTTTTTTGATGATCCTTTGAGCGCTGTTGACGTTCATGTTGGCTCACATCTTTTTAAACATGTACATACATTAGGAACGTATATCGGTAGAGATATGGCCTTTTACATTGTCTTATACGTGAAAGCCTTTTATTCGATTCGTGTAAGTAGTTAATGTCAGTGTAATAATAATAATAGTGTATATACAAGTATGGAACAATTGTATATAGTAAAAATCTGCTTTTAATTTATTTATTTTTGTTGATAGCGACTTCATAGCTACTTCGATGAGTACGCCTTCGAAAGATGTTTTCATCTCCATGTGTTTGTATTCCAAGATCTGTAATTCGGTCCAAATGCGTAACCTCGTTGAAATTTCTTGCCAGGTCATAGGACATAAAGGCCTACTCGCAGATCGTACTAGAATACTAGTCACTCACAACGTATCATACTTACCATATGCGGACCGTGTCATCGTACTTAAAGATGGAATGGTGGCAGAACAAGGAACGTACAATGAACTCGTGAGAGAAAGTCAGGTGTTTGCGGAACTTGTGAATCAGCTGAAGGCTCAACAAGATAAAGTGAGCATCTCAGAAGATCCGAACTCCGCTGTTAGCCTACCATCGCCGTCACGGCGATTTTTAATTGGGCATATTTTGCTTAAATAATAAGTCATTACGGTATTACAACTGGACTACCTAAACAGTAGTTTTATTGTTATCATGGTTGCTTTTATAAAGGAAAGTCCCGGACAAACAAGGAAAAAGGCAGACGAAAATCAAGACAAAGTTAAGAACACAGATAAGGTACGTATCTGGATTGAACAAACTTCACCTGTGCTTCAATACTCATTGAACTACATATGAGTGAACCTGTTGACTTTTCAACATGCTTACTCTGTTCCAGTAGCAAATGGTTCAGAGCTATTATTTCGACATTCTGCGGACATCTTGGCTAACTGTTGCAGCCCGTCCCAGCGCTGTAGGGTCAAGAAGCGATCCGCAGGTAACTTCAATATTGCTTCTTATATCTGTCGTCTGTGTTGCAGTTTAAACAAAACGCACAACTCATCGAGGATGAGGACATGAGACTCGGTGCGGTAGACTGGCATGTGTACGCTGCGTATCTGGATGCTATAGGATATAAGTGGCCGATAATGATCCTATTTTTCTCCTTGATGTCAGTTTGGTTCTCCATTAAAGCTAGAGATTGGCTCTCAGTATGGTCGGGTGACGTCCCAGGATCAGGTCGGTACCGTACTTCGATCGGAGCATAGTCTTTATCGATAACGATCGTAGACGATGGCGTAATCTTACGATATTAAGCCATAAGTAAGGGCAATCAAACGAGAATCTGTCCCGGGCTTTTTTCCTTGTCGTTAAGCTCGAACAATCGAGAGTCATTCTTTGAGAAGCAAACGGATGTTCACAGTTGAAGTTTGACGTTTTTAACTCGGAATCACTCAATAATATTTTTATCAATTATAACATCAGGTGTTTTCTAGCGTAACCGTGAGTTTACTTAACCCTTTAGTTGGTAATCGTTTAGTAGTAGTTAAGCTGGTCGAAGAGTAGTGGCTATCTTCTCCTTATTATTTTGTTCTTCGTTTACTGATGATCGAGCGTTATCCTGCTGGAGAGCTCTACCGTGTAGAGACAAGGTCGTCGACATAGCTTCATCGGGATCACAGTTTCACTTCGAATTTAAACTCCAAACCGCTTTGCTACAGTCAAAGATGGTACTTTCTAGTTAAAAAGTGCATTTCTCCAGGCTTTTCGAAATCCTTCCTTGAGCCACTTTTGAAAGCAGATTATTGTTATGATGGGCAAAAAGTTGGTGTCGCGAAACCACTAGGCTTTAGCATAACATAGCTATATTTGAAATCTTCAGATTTCAAATTTATACGACTATTTTTATACGACTATTCCTATATGGCCTTCATCTAGCCTATCGAAAACTAGTTTCCGCGTCACAGACAATGAAATCTACTACAGCTTGTATGCCTTATAAAAACTAAAAATCTCATGACTGAAAGGCATCGCCGTAGCAACATGTTTTTTTTATATATATACAGTGATCGTAAAAATATATTGGGGTTGTCCTTCGTGTTTTAATAAATTTACAAGGATCTTTCTTAAAGCTGCGCCCTGATCTGCCTCATTTATCCAGACGGCAAAATAAGCGAAACGATGCGGGATTATCGTATACTGATATATTGTGTACTGGGATTTGGAAATGCAGTAGCACTTATGCTATCACTAACGGCTCGTAACTATGCGTCGATTGAAGCTGCGGCATTAATACATATGAATGTTCTATATTGTATCTTGCGTGCTCCGGTGAGTTTCTTCGAGACCACACCAACTGGCCGGATTGTAAACCGGTTCTCAAGAGACATCGCCATTGTTGACGTAATTGCCGCCGAAACGTTGCATATGTGGATGTTTGCGGTTTTTCAGGTTTGTCTTTTTGCTTCTTTAGCAATTGGTCAGTTGTTTGACTCGCGTGTAACAAACATTATAAAATAGAGGGGAAACTGTAAGTTTATTACGATAGAGGCTTTCACATCGAAAGAAATCAAGATCAATTTGTTTTCTATTACGTAAGATCGGTCTTTTCTTTTTAATGAGTAAAAAAAAATGAGAGAAAAAATTTTTTTTCTTTACATCTTCGTTCCATTTTCCTTCATCATCTTTCCTACGACATGATCAGAAGTGAGTATCTTTCTATACATGGTTTTCTTATTCCAGCTATGCGGGACACTTCTAGCCATCACGATTGAGATCCCCATCTTTTTCGCGGCGGCGGCACCCCTTTCCATCCTGTATTACGGCTTTCAAATGCTGTACTTGAGTCTGTCTCGGCAGCTTCAGAGATTGATTTCGGTAACGTTCTCTCCGATTTTTTCACACTTCACCGAGACTTTCGCAGGCATCTCGGTCATCCGCGCTTTCGAAGTAAAGGACTTTTTTGTTAAAGAGTCGTGCAGGAAGCTCGATGCAAGTATTCAGTGCAGCTATGCAGACCTCGCTGCTGAAAGGTTGAGTATTTTGATAGAATTACGGGGGACCATAATTCTATGGTAGTTTATACCATATTGAGAGTCAGTCATCTGTAGGTCGGGGCACTCATTAAATAGAAGTGACGCTACTTGTAGGCTTTATGCGCATGAAAAACTCAACGGATCTTTGCAGATTTTTCGTTCTGTCAAGTACGACTAATTGTCCTGCCGTTCGGTGTGTTTATGGACTACCATAAGTGGACTTACTAAGACAGTAGGATAAGAAAAACAAGTGTATTTTTAAAAATGTCGTTAGCAAATAATAGATCGAAGAGATTCGGACAAGAAACTCGTTATCTACATATGCTTGAAAGCAGGATCATGTTATCCCCGAGTGCATTGATCTATCCATTTTGTTTTTTTTTTTTCTTTTTGGAATGAGTCTTTCCAGAAATTCTACTGGTTAAGGCCCGCCGAATATGACGCTGTGTGCTATTGTTTATCCTGCTGCAGATGGTTGACCGTTCGACTGGAAATCTGTGGTAGTTTGATTCTCCTGTTTGCGTCACTGGTCATGGTCTACTATCATGAGCAATTTCAAGGACATGGCGAAAAAGTCGGTTTGATTCTCACCTACTCGCTCTCAGTTACCATGATGCTTAATAGTATCATACGAACCAACTCGCAAATGGAGATTAGTCTGGTCTCCGTGGAACGCCTCCTCGAGTATATCAATCTTCCAAGTGAGGTATTCCTGCGATAAGAGATCAGCCAGAGGCATTTGCTTTCCTTAATCGGAACAATTTGGATGTATCGAAGAGCGTCACTAGTAAAACAATCCCAATGTTGTCCTGGACTGGGCTTTAGACCCAGATTCACTCAATAACAATACCACATATACTTGCTGAATATAGACTGACATCGCTGACAACTTTTTGATAAAAAAAAAAACGCTAATAACAATAGCATAAACTAATAAACTCGACATTAGGCAAATGTAGATGGCTGTACGAGCTTCCACATTACATGAGATACCGTGATTGTTACATAAACTATATATTTCCAGCTATACTATACTGACAGTTCAGTAGTTTTCCTCGAATAGCAAACATAGTCTGTGATACCATTTCGACAATGCTAACACCTTTCGTACCGTATACAGGCTCCGTGGAAAACATTACAGCAAGACATTCCTGCTGAATGGCCTGAACATGGTGGGATCGCGTTTGAGAATTACTCAACACGATATCGAGAAGGACTTCCTCTTGTCCTTAAGTCGATATCAATCGTCATTAATCCTGGAGAAAAGGTAAAATACGATCGTTAAGAAGTACATGCATTAGTAAAAAAAATATATATTCCTAAATAAGTCTCTTGTGTAGCGCAGTTCAGTGCTAGCGTCAAGATGCTATCGTCGTGATTGCGTATCCCAAGGGTACGGCAGAAATAAGTGATATGCAAATATATGTACACCTGATATTATATAAACATGACATATATAACTTTCTATGATCAAGCGCAGCTACCCATAAGTTACCCTCAAATTTAAAAAAATCTTCTCCGAAATTAATTTTGTAAACCATCAATCTCCAACATGTTTTAATCGTATCGGTTAATGGCGACCTATATAATTAATTCTAACTACACAAATTATTAAAATTAGAGCTAAAATTAGCTCTAAGGTACTTCCATTTCTGATAATGGAGATTTCATGCTTGCAAGTCACGTGCCATTACATTAGTGTTGTCTATCTAACCGTTGCTACGAGAATTGAAAGACTGCCGCTTTGTACAATCACTATAGGATTGAAAGTTGGATTGTGATGTCTACACAGGTTGGCATCGTGGGCCGAACGGGAACAGGAAAATCTTCATTAGCTTTAGCGTTATTTCGTGTACTCGAAGCAGCCAAAGGCAGAATCGTGATTGACAACATCGACATCGGCCTCATTGGCCTTCATGACCTGCGTCATAGATTAACAATTATCCCGCAAGATCCTGTCTTGTTCCGAGGCTCACTGCGGCTCAACCTAGATCCGCTTCGTTCGGTCAGTATTCGATTATCGGTGACACCCGCCCAGTGACACATTCAGCTGTTAATTGATTTAGTACTTTCTCTTACAGGATATGTATTGCTTTTTGGCCAAAGGACAAAATTGTACATCTAACTTTGGGAATGCGACATAATGTGTGGCTTGTTTGCCCAATACTTTTTGGCTGGGTAACTTATAGATGCGGTTCCGTAAATCTGCACTATAAAATTTTATATAATATATGGAGCGTGTATGTATGTGCGGGTGAGAGGGGAGTGTTCTTCCTAGATATGATAGTCTATATATATATATAGATGACATATGAGTAGCGCGCTCCCGAGGCACATTTGCCCTAACGATCACGATTTGAGTCCGCAGCAGTCTGAACGAGTGCACAAGAATTATTTCTTTTTTGCGATTTACAGTTCAATGATAAGGAACTGTGGCGCGCGCTCGAGTTAGCGCACTCAAAAGAATTTGTTGGCAAGCTTACCGCCAGTGACGGATCAAAGGGTTTAAGCTACTTAGTGACAGAGGGTGGAGCAAACCTTTCGATGGGGCAACGCCAGCTTCTGTGCCTCGCTCGAGCGTTGCTGCGGAAGAGTCGCATCCTGGTCATGGATGAGGCCACGGCCGCTGTTGACCAGGCGACAGATAAGCTTATACAAGAGACAATACGAAAAGAGTTCAAGCACTGCACCGTACTTACTATTGCGCATCGACTGAACACAATTCTCGACTATGATAGGTACTTCAAACCGTTTACTAACTTTACATGTCTGTAGCAATTTGCCCCTCTTATATGCTATATTAGCGGAAAGAGAAGACGAAGCTATACGGCCCATTGGAACTTATTTATTCCGTCATTGTAGCAATCCAGAGTACTAGAGTCTAGAAAATCTCAAGAGAAAAACTATCGCGTTAGGGTTTCTGTGTATAAGTTACCGGATTTGAAAAATGTGGTAATCTTCTGGAGCAATGTCTGGTGAGTATGGCAGATAACAGAAAACTCCGGAAAGGACTGTGTGTGGATCTTCACGGTATAAAGTCGAGTGTTCTCGTACGGTTTCTCTATTACGTCTCCCAAAGTAAAGTTTCAGCCGCGATGGGCAAATCCGAATGTTAGTGGACAATGCCTGCATTAGACGGCCCAACAGGCACCGTCAGCTTTTGCAACTTTGCAGTTACTTGGGAATGTTGTTAGGTCAGTGCAGCTGTATCCTAATGTGATTGCCTGTAATAACAGTAAAATATCAATATATTGTTCATAATCAAATTTGGTATGAGGATGAATCACTGTTTTAGCGCGAGAGCAACGAAAAGCAAGTGTCTATACTTCTCCCTTTTGGATTCCCATTTAAATAATGCGGCATCAGTTTGTTAAGTTTTTTTGCCTTACAAGTAAACAGATCTAGTTTTTTTAGATGGCCAGAGTTGAGTGCTGATAACGATACACTGTGAGATAAATTAACTGCTATGAGATTTCATTTATATCTCGCTCTTGGAACCTTTTAAATCAACGGCCCAAATTAACGCTGGTAGTATATCGTTCACTGGTACAATATTTATATATTTGTATTGATGGAACTTAAAGCAATTAAATTTTTCATGGCTCATTGCAACCCGTCTACTAAAAGCCTGAATGGCGACATTATAATCCATTTTTTTTTTAAGTACCAATGGCCCTTGATGTGGCGCACCATTTCAAAATGATAGAATGAACGCTTCTTCCATTTCACACTGAGCAACTTCAAATTTGTAGCTAGCACCCATAATCTGCGTTTTTTTTCTCGTTTTTTTTTTATCGTTAAGACTATATAGCGGAACATTGCAATGGATGGTTTGCTATGCCTTACGTCTTCGTATATTTGAAATTTTCAGAATAATCGTTTTTGACAATGGTCGCGTAGCGGAGTTCGATTCGCCAGTAAATTTACAAAAAAAGCAGACTGGTCTATTTTATGCCTTAGTAAAAGAAGCCAATCTACCCCCTGACAAACATTTTCACGAGACGAAGATGCCGGCCGAATGGACATCGAATAGCCAAAAAGCTCGTCCGGTTTCAATCTAATGACGATGGTTTTTCTACGGGCGAATTTCTAATCTGGTGTTTTTTTCAAGGCTGAAACGACCAACTCTGTACTGCGTAGTTATTTTATTATACTGCATTAATAAACCAACAGTATTCGTGAGAAAACTTTCTCATAGCTGAAATTATATACTGTAAAACAGTTGTTAGAACGGGGTGACAATACGCAGCATCATGGGTAGATATCGATTTGATGACTGGAACAGAATTTCACTGCCCAGCAGTGCCACCGTCACAGAATCAACAATATATGGTCGAAATAACGGCGAAGCAAATGAGCGTACTCATATATTAGATAGGGTTCTACAGAAAGCGTATAAGAGAACGCCTGACACGAATTAATCCTACCACCCCCCTATTTGCTACGTTACGTTGCGTACGATGTTACGTTATGAACTGGTAAAAGGTGTTTACAGACGAGCGAATAGCTTCGTTTAGGTGACACGGAAGCCGGAACACAAACGTGCTACTTGAACAAAGGTGGCTGAACCGAGAGTAGTATGGATCAGCATAACTCATGTACAGGGCGCGTATTCTAACCTAGTTTGACATAGATATTTGACCTTGTTATATTAGGCGGTTGGTTTCTAGCACGCAACGATGTCAGTCTATGCCCAGAACACTGGGTGGCCCCAAAATTTAGCATTTTGCTATTGCACCATTACGGGCTCCAGCCAGCCGGGGCAGTTAGCAATTTTTCTACTGCATATCCATTTAGTTACCCCGGTACGGCAAGTCATGGCTGAAGTTACGTTGTCGGTCTAGTCTACCTCAATGTTTCAACGGCTAAAAGTACACTTGGTTATGGTAAAAGGCGCCACACTTGAAGTACCTTAGCGTACGATCGTATAATGCAATCTTCAGTACATGAGAAGAAACTTCAGTGAGATACATTTCTAAACCTGTGGGATTATTTCGCTGTATGACTGGATGATGTGGAGCGAACCTCTTTGAAATGGTAAGCATATTTTAGACGATAGCTAGATTATCTAGTTTATATAGTATAGTTGTTTCGTTAATTTTAGATTGAAGATTTTTAGATTTTAAGATTAGACAAGGGTGAAACTACCGCAAGTAACGATCACAATCACTAAAAACAATGTGAGTCTCTATCTTAATTATAAGTATTAACTAATAATAAGTTGCCTTACCCACCCATCGTAAGCCCGGGCTATTCTAAGATTATTATTACAGCTCTGTATACAATCCGTCTTGCAGTAACACGCTCGAGAACCGCCTTGAGCTATATTTCTCTTTTTTCTTTAATTTAAGGTACTACCTTTTAGTCCTTAATACGTAGTCGTAATCCTTGAACCTTGTGGCTCACTATGCATATAGGAGGAATACAGCCCTTGCCATGCTGTGCCTTTCCTAAAAATGAAAACAGCAAAATCGGACTATAGCTATAGAATATTTCAGTGTGTTGCAGGCGTCAACCCTCAATCGTAATCTTCCAAAATGCTTTCTTCTTCGTAACCTATTTTAACGAAATTATGTCAACTCTGGCCAGATACTTTCCTGAAGCTTCTGCAAAGATCGGATAAAAAACAGTCTCCCTTCCACAGAGATGACAGGTGACTCGGTTTTACTGAACTAATAAGCGCCGATGGAGGATTGCTTTTTGGATGGGTTAGTTGTTTTGAATCTTATCTAGCTGTTAAAATTTGTAAGCATAGGAAAAATCGGTGCCGGACTCTTGATAAATAGCCAATTTAATGCTTTGGATCATTTTGTTCGTTGCAAGCATTACGATTCATTTCGGTATATAGTACTTTTTTTTCCTAAAACTCTTTTCCCTTTCGTAAAATAGTTAACTTTCAATATTATCATAGTAAGTTTGTATCTTGTATGTTTGGTCTTCAATTGTTTACCTATAGCTTATTCTGAAATTGAGCAGACAAATATTGGAGTGCTTTCGGGTACCGATTGTTTGTTTCGGTCCAGCGGCTCATTAGTGTGTACCTATCTTGTACTAAATGTTGACGGATGAGTGATACATTATCAAATGCTCTTTCAACAAATAACAACAATTGCATACATTTTCGCTCTGAAGGAACTCATCACCCAGCCAAAACATTTTTATTTGGGTTTTTTTTTATAAAATTTTTCTATGAGCGAATTTTCGCTTTTTAACTAAATGTTCGATTACTAAACATGGAAAGTGAGTCCTCCTTAGATTGATCTCGAAACAGATCACAAGTACGGGATAACTAACTTATGATAGATTATAATACTACTGAAGATTATACAGTAAATGTAATATTTGTGTTAAAAATTTCCTTCTGTAAATTACGTCGAATCCTCAAAAATGGACCTCTTGTATTATCATAAACTGTCACTAGTCTGTAAGACAGGACGTCTCAGAATATAACAAATTTTTTTTAAACAAATTTTTTTTTGCCGTTTCATGCATACACAAGCACTTTTCTAATTTGAGCTAAGTGTCTGTTTCTTGTCTTCTGAAAGCTCTCCAAACACGATTACTTTTTGCTACTAAGCTGTGCAGTATTTTTTTTTTTGTAAGCTTGAAAATAGTAGTGTTTGTTCAACTGAAATCGAACTGTGAAACCTATTGACAATGACATTTGAGAGGGATTACATCAACGTTTTCGCTTAGGCATACAGGAACGAATCGGTTTTCCAATCTGGGTATGTGCCCCAATGCAGGCTTCTCTGGGCCGCGGGCGTACCGACATATTCAGCAATATGGAACAGATATCATAGATTTAGCCCATTTACTCTGCTATACCGAATTCTATAGTATACTTATTGAAATAACAGAAGTATTCTCTGCAGTAAAGCCGGAAAATCTCCGGGTGTGGAAACGCGGTATTTGGAAATATTTGTGGTCCGTTTTACGGCTTATTTCCCCCCTGGTCACTGGCAGAGTTAACCAATTTTCGGAAATGTGTTATTGATTCATTAACGTTTCTTAGAGTGTAACAGTATTTCATACATTAGAGCGTATTTTCACAGGGCACGGGTTTTCCTAGAATTTGGTGATCTAGATATGCTGGCCTTCAATCAAGTGTTGAATTGCTATTTTAGAAATATCCTTATCATAAGTGAGTACAAGATTGCTAACTCATGAGGAAAAATTCAAAGCGAAGTATCGTCTTCATCGTCTCAGATATTATTTTCATGCATCGCACCTCTTATGTACCCGTCAAATCTAAACTTGAAAACCGAAGGCCCGCCAAGAACCATCGAAAATGAACTTGTGTGAAAATTAACGCTGTATAAAAAAAAAAAACCGGAACCGTACCCCTGTTTTACCCAAATGTTTCACATGTGCTAAAAGTGCCACTTCTTAGGGTTATGGTTTTTTTATTATCACTATTACCCATTACGACTGCAGCTCTAATTGGAGACCTAAATAACTAACTAGTCACTTATCTTACTTATATTGTATTATGTCCATTGAACTTTCTTATAAAAACCGCCCTGAGCGATATCGTTAAATGTAAACTTAGTAGTGCTACATACAAAAGTACGCTACATACAAAACATCCCGACATTTTAAAGAACATCAAGTTTTAGGCTGCTAGCAGGCCAGAGATTCCAAAAACTCACGCGCTAAAAACAGTCGAAAAAATTAAGGTATAGAAGGAACAACAAGAAGACTAACTGTTACAGCTTATTTAGACGACCCAATTTGCAACTAATATTCTGCTTTTTAAAACGGCTGCAAATATCAATAGTAAAAACAATGGTACATGAAGGATAATTTTTAGGCTATAAAATCTTTAAATCTAAACCTTATCAAAGGTCCTCATGCGGGTGTTTCGTTACGATAAGCAACTTGTATGAATTTGAATTCGACCTATTTCTCCAATAACTGAGCAGTCTGGAAAACTCTTGGGGCTCAACTTTTGAGATGCGATATACGTTTTCAGCGACGCGAGGCTCAGGGCCATAGAGAGGGTGTTACATAATTATATGATGTAATAGAACATATGGGAACGTAAGTTTTTCTCCTACAGGACCGAGATGCGTGAGCGAAATATTGTTGAAGCTATCTAACAAACGTTCGGCAAGGGAATGTTGT